TTTTTTTACGTTTCCCTTTTTAAACTGGATTTAGGTCTGGATTTGACTGGGCCTTCAAACACAAAATTGCTTTTATCAAGTTTAATTTTGTCTCACCTGACAGAACCTTCTTCCAACGTTTGTTGTGTCCCTCATGGATTCTCACAAACTGCAAACGGGACTTCTTATGGCTTTCTAATTCAACAATAGCTTTTCTTCTTGCCGCTCTTGCATAAAGGCAAGATTTCGGGAGTGCACGACTAAAAATAGTTGTCCCTGTGGACAGATTCTCCCACCTGAGCTGTGGATCTCTGCAGCTCCTCCAGTGTTACCATGGGCCTCTTGTCTGCTTCTCTGATTAATGCCCTCCTAGCCTAGCCTGTCATATTTAGGTGGACGGCCCATTGTCTTTGGTAGGTTTGCAGTTGTGCCATACTCTTTCCATTTTCAGATGATGGATGAACAGTGGCTTCGTCAAGATGTTTTCAAAGTTTGGGATTTTTATTTGCAACTTAACCCTGCTTTAAAATCGTCTCCACAACTTATCCCTGACCTGTCTTGTGTGTTCCTTGGCCTCCATGATGCTGTTTGTTGCACTAATGTTCTCAAACCTCTGAGGCTCACAGAACAGCTGTATTGATACCGAGATTTTTTTTTAAAACGACACACAGGTGGACTCTATTACTAATTAGGTGACTTCTGAAGGGGATTGGTTCCACTAAATTTTAGTTAGGGGTATTAGAGTAAAGGAGGCTGAATACAAATGCTTGCCACACTTTACAGATATTTATTTGTACAAAAAAAATTCAGAACCATTTATCATTTTTCTTCCACTTCACAAGTATGTGCCACTTTAAAATCCCAATAAAATACATTTACGTTTTTGGTTGTAACGTGAAAAAATGTGGAAAATTTAAAAGGGGTACAAATACTTTTTCAAGGCACTGTAGGTGTACGGTGGACAAGAAGGGGTTAACATAGAAGCTGATGCAAAACAATAGTTGAGGTGTGGTCCATAGCAGCCAAAAATTTCTGCATCGTTCTTTCTATGATAGCTAGAAACATTATGTATAAAAACACAAAGGGCCCTCACCTTGGTGTTACACCATTCAGTGATGCATTCCCAGCAGAAGAGGTGGCCACATGGTGTGGCTGTGGTATGTTTCCGGTGCTCTAAACACAATGTGCACTTAGAGGGTCGCTGGTAGTTTTTTCTCATGTGGCGGTGCCCTACAAACACAGAACAGAAGATATTTACAGTATTCCATAGCTTGGTTATGGAATGATTGTGGTAATCACTATTTGTATCTAAACTGAAGACATTACCACAGAGCAATTTCTGAGAAACAGACTTCTAACCCATCGTGCCATAGCTGAACCAGGGGTCAGGGAAAGTCAGTTATAATAGTGCAAGATAAAAGCAGTACATAAAATATCAGCTTATAAACTTTTAAATAATATTATGATGCTTTATTTTAATAAACTGACCAGAAAAACATTATAGTCTACTTTTAGGCTGCAGAATATTTTAGGTAGTAAATGAGAAAACAGTGGAATTTTGATAAAAAATCTGGATGATTTTTTTCCAAGGGCTGGACTGCCATCACTGGAGCTTGTAAGTACAGTCTTTGGTGCCAAAGCAACACCCCTCAGCAAGGACATGTTCTTGTTTAACCAGAAAGTTGTGACAATGTAAACGTATAGCAGACCTTTGACTAATATCTCAATTCCTCCTTATATAATCACAATATTTTTTCTTGTTTAGTAAATACCTTCCTTCACGCATAGCATCATCTTGCTTCCTTATGGTCACCTAGGTGAGAGTGATGTAGCCCTTGACCATCCACAGCATCCTGGGATAACCAGAAAACTCCAGGGTGGGACACACCCCCACCCCCCCCCCCCTTGGCACTTGTCTCAGCTTTGGGCAGAAGGCATCCTGTTCTCCGACCACATAGCTAGCATTTAATAGCACGCATGCAGGAAGAGGGGCACAGTACTATATTATATATATATATATATATACACAGTTAGGTCCATAATAATGGATGTGGGCTGAAAGTGAAGTGCACAATCTCAGGTTTAATTTGAGGGTATGTACATCCAAATTGGAGGAAGGGTTTAGGAATTACAGCTCTTAAGAGTAGCCATTCCCCCTTTTTCAAGGGACCAAAAGTAATTGGACAAATGAATATAATCATAAATAAAATGTTCATTTTATAATATATTGTTGAGAATCCTTTACTGGCAATGACTGCCTGAAGTCTGGAACCCATGGACATTATCAAAGACTGGGTTTCCTCCTTTCTGATGCTTTGCCAGGCTCTAACTGCAGCTGTCTTCAGTTGTTCTTTGTTTGTCGGTCTTTCTGCCTTTAGTTTTGCCTTCAGCAAGTGAAATGCATGCTCATTTGGGTTGAGATCAAGTGATTGACTCGGCCATTGCAGAATATTCCATTTCTTTTCCTTCACAAGCTCCTGGGTTTCTTTTGCAGTGTGCTTTGGATCATTGTCCATCTGTACTGTGAAGCGCCTTCCAATCAACTTTGCTGCATTTGGCTAAATCTGGGCTGACAGTAATATCTCTAATCACTGCAGAATTCATCTGGCTGCTTCTGTCTTCTGTCACATCATCAATAAACACCAATGACCCAGTGCCATTGGAAGCCATGCATGCCCGTGCCATCACACTGCCTCCACCATGTTTTACAGATGACGTTGTGTGCTTTGGATCATGAGCTGTTCCAAGCCTTCTCCACACTTTTTTCTTCCCACCATTCTGGTACAGATTAATCTTAAGTTTCATCTGTCCAAACAATGCTTTTCCAGACCTGGTCTGGTTTTTTAGATGTTTTTTTTGGCAAAGTCTAATCTGGCTTTTCTATTCTTCAGGCTTATGAATGGTTTGCACCTTATGGTGAACCCTCTGTATTTGCTCTCCTGAAGTCTTCTCTTCATAGGCCCACCTCCTGAAGAGTGTCCTTCACTTGTCTGGATTTTGTGAATGGGTTTTTCTTTACCATAGAGAGGATCCTACGATCATCCACCACTGTTGTTTTCCATGGACATCCATGCCTTATGTTTGCTGAGCACACCAGTGCGTTCTTCTTTCCTCAGAATGTGCCAAACTGTTGATTTGGCCACTCCTAATGTTGCTGCTATTTCCCTGATGGATTTGTTTTGTTTTTGTAGCCTTACAATGGCCTGTTTCACTTGCATGGACAGCTCCTTTGAACGCATGATGTAGGTTCACAACAACAGATTCCAAATGCAAATACCACACTTAGAATCAACTCCAGGCCTTTTACCTGCTTAAATGATGAAGAAATAACAAAAGGAGTAGCCCACACCTGGCCATGAAACAACTTTTGATTCAATTGTCCAATTATTTTTGGTCCCTTGGAAAAGGGGGGATGGCTACTCTCTTAAGAGCTGTAATTCCTAAACTCTTCCTCCCATTGGGATGTACATACCCCCAAATTAAACCTGAGAGTGTGCACTTACAGCCCATAGCCCAGGGCTTACAATTTCCACTCGTCTGCTCGCATTTGGCAAGTGGAAATAATGTGGAGGCGAGTCACTGGCAAAGCCGGAGCCACTATAAGGCAGCACAGGCAGCTGGGTAGACAGACACTGTCTCCTGGCACGCCAATCATGTCACAGGAGCCCCACCTACAGCCCCAGGGCACGCCCACTCGAGTGGCTGGGCCTGCGCTCAATAGGTTTGTCTCGGGGTTGCATTCATGGAGAAGCGGCCGTCCAATAAGCTGTCTCTGGATGACACCGTACCGCTCACCGCCGCCATAGAGGCCAGACAGAGCCTGCAATCCCACACTGTGAGTGTATTTGTGTGTATGGACTACAGGGAGGGCTGCGTGTACTCCCTGTATGTGATCTCTACCATTCCTGTACAGGATACATGGAGAGTGTACATCACAGATCACTGACACGTTGGGTGTACACTATAGATCACTGATACATGGAGAGTGTACATCACAGATCACTGACACGTTGGGTGTACACTATAGATCACTGATACATGGAGAGTGTACATCACAGATCACTGACACATGTTGGGTGTACACTATAGATCACTGATACATGGAGGGTGTACACTATAGATCACTGATACATGGGGGGTGTACTTTACAGATCACTGACACATATTGGGTGTACACTAGAGATCACGGATGCATGGAGGGCGTACACTATAGATCACTGATACATGAAGGGTGCACACTACAGATCACTGATACATGGAGGGTGTACATCACAGATCACTGACACGTTGGGTGCATACTATAGTTCACTGATACATGGAGGGTGCACACCATAGTTCACTGATACATGGAGGGTGCACACCATAGATCACTGATACATGGAGGGTGCACACCATAGATCACTGATACATGGGGGGTGCACACCATAGATCACTGATACATGGGGGGTGCACACCATAGATCACTGATACATGGGGGGTGCACACCATAGATCACTGATACATGGAGGGTGCACACCATAGATCACTGATACATGGAGGGTGCACTCTGATGGTAAATGGGGATGCTGATGGCACAGGGGGACTGGTAGAGGAGGACATGGGATGGGGGAGATGGGACTGGAGGAGAAAGACATGGGATGGAGGAGGTGTTTACATTGCTTTATTAATATTATTAAAAATGTTGTTGTTAATATTTATTCCGCATAAAAACATTTCACAGTGTCATTTCATGAGATAATTTATGAAGGCATGTTTAGTGGCGAAAATTAGGGGCGGGGAAGGGTAGGGGTTGGGTGGGGCAACTGGTGGCGAGTAACTTTTAAGGCCTGCTAGTAGCTAAGGACTTGAAATTTTAAGCCCTGCCATAGTCATTATATAACTATATATATACACACACACACACACACACACACATACTACATTGCTAAAAATACAGTGAAACTTCGGTTCATGAATGCTTCTATTCACGAACAACTCAGTTTGCGAACAGAAGAGTTCGCAAAAATGTGCTTTGGTTCGCGAACTCCGCTTTGGTTGACGAACACGAGCCGTGGCCATCTTTCCTTCTCCGACACGTGGTTGTGACTTCCTGTAGGCGAGATCGCGGTCACAGGCAGACACTGAAAGTATACTGTGAAGACACAGTACTGAGAAGCTTTCTGGTGTGCTTTTTAGCACATACTGTACAGTACTGTACATCACAGTGCACACTTGCTGTAAAGTTTTTTTGTGTGTCTTTAGCACATACTGTACCAGACATCCAGTATGGCTCCAAAGAAAATTCAGAGAAAGCATGGTAGTAAGAAGAAAGTGCGGAGCAATAATGAAGGTGACCAGAATGTGCAGAGCAAGCATGTTGTTGAAAAGAAAGTGCAGAGGTAATGAAGGTGACCAGAACGAGCAGAGCAGTAATCAAGGTAACAAGCATGTGCGGAGCAAGCATGGTGGTAAAAAGAAAGTGCAGAGGAAGAATGGTATGAGTAAGGTTGTGAATAAAATAACCATTGAGTTGGAAGAAGGAAATTGTAGAAAAGCATGACCGTGGTAATCAAGTGACTGATCTGGCCTTGGAGTACAAGGTGGCAAAGTCGACAATCTCGACTATTTTGAAGAAAGCTTCCATCAAAGGAGCTGATGTGGCAAAAGGACTAACGATGTTAACCAAGCAGAGGACGCAAGTGCTGGAAGAGGTGGAAAAAAACTTTTTTAGTGTGATTGAATGAGAAACAGCTGACAGATGATGGCATTAATGAAGCTGTGATATGTGAAAAAGCCAGGAAACTGCACAGTGATTTACTGCAAAAAAAAAAACCCTCTACAAGTGCAGCAGGCAGGGTGGATTTGATTTAAATCAAGTTTACTGAAATCAAGATTTAAATCACTAGTGAAAAGGCTCGATTTAAACTAGTGAAAAGGCTCGATTTAAATCATAATTTTTAAATAACAACTGTCATCTCTGTCTTGCAGCGGCTCCTCCTCTGACCTGCTGTTAACACGACATTCTCATTCATTTTAATGGGACGGCTGGTGATGCGGCAGTGACAACAAAGGAGGGACGTGACGGCGGCAGCAGGAGAGTGGGTGCCCACTAAAAAGCGTTGCCATGATGGATCTAAAATGACAGGTGCTCTTTAAATGTAAGTAATCACTCTTGCTGGTAGTTTGAATCTTTAATATTTAAAAATAAAATGAAGGTTTCTTTTTTAGAATGATAAGCTTTCAGGTTAGTAAAACAGCAATATCAGAACCGATTTTAGGTTAATCAAACATAGTTGGAGAACTACTCAAATTCTTTTATTTCATGTTTTTTCTCATAGTTGTGTGAATGCATCAATGCAGTGCATGTTATCTCAGCGTGCAGAGCTTGGATTCATTGAATGAGTTTACCAAAAATGTAAATATTGCAGAATATACAGACTCATACTACATAACTAAGCTCCATTTCATGCTGAATTAATAATGTATCTTGAACAGAAATCTATCTTCAAATATATTTTGACTCCAAAAGCATTTTATTAACATAAATTTGATAAAAATTAAAAAAAAATCTGATTTAAATTAAAAAACAAACAAAAACTATTCAAATAAAAAAAAAAAATCATCAATTTTTATCCACCCTGGCAGCAAGTGAAGAATTTAAAGCCAGTAGAGGGTGGTTTTAAAAATTCCACAACAGAAGTGGCATCCACAGTGTGACAAGGCCTGACAAGGCCGCTGCAGAAGCCTACAAGAAAGAATTTGCAGAATTCATGAAGGCAGAAGGATACGTCGCTCAACAAGTGTTCAACTGTGATGAAACAGGGTTCTTCTGGAAAAAGATGCCAAACAGAACCTATATCATGAAAGAGGAAAAGGCACTGCCGTGGCACAAGCCCATGAAGGACAGATTGACCCTTTTGCTGTGTGCGAACACAAGTGCCAATCTGAAGTTTAAGCCTCTACTAGTGTACCATTCCCAGAACCCTCATGCATTCAGGGAACAGAATGTGAACAAGGCCAGACTGCTTGTCATGTGGAGGCCCAATGTGAAAGCTTGGGTCACAAGGCAATTGTTCATGGAATGGCTGCATGAGGTCTTCGCACCCACCCTAAGAAAATATCTGACAATCAACTGCCTGAAAGGTGCCTTCTTCTGATAGACAATACCCCGGCACACCCTCCAGCCTTGGTGGATGATATGGATGCGGAGTATGACTTCATAAAAGTCAGGTTCCTCCCCCCCCCCAACATGACACCTCTTCTGCAGCCCATGGACCAGCAAGTGATCTGCAACTTTAAGAAGCTGTACACAAAGGCACTCTTCACTAGGTGTTTTAATGTCACTGAAGAGACGTCCTTGAGTCTGAAATAATTCTGGAACAAACTTTTGAATGTTCTCCATTGCATCAAGCTCATGGACAAAGCCTGGGAAGATGTCACGTACCGGACGTTATACTCAGCCTGGAGGAAAACTGTGGCCAGAATGTGTCACTGAACGTGACGTTGAAGGGTCTAATGCAGAGGTAGTGGAGGAGATTGTGTCCATGGCGCAGACATAGAGGAGCTTGTTGTGGAACATAAGGAGGAGTTGACCATGGAAGAACTTGCTGAACTCCACAGTGAGCAGCAAAAGGCGCTTACTGAGGAACATTCCACTGAGGAAGACAGGGAGGAGGTTAGCAGTGATGGCATAAAATCCATTATGGAAAAATGGAATGAGTGCCATGATTTTTTTGAGAAGCACCACTCCAACATAACTGTAATTAGCACAGTGTTGAATCTGATGAACGGTAACGTGGTCTCTCATATCCTGAGGGTTATGCAGCGCAGGAAAAGACAAGTTACATTGGACAGACTTTTCACCAAAACTGAGCTTGCAGCTAAGAGACAAAGAAGAGAGGAAACCCCTTAAGGAAATCTCCCCAATGTCCTTATGGAGGGGGACTCTACCTCCAAACATCAACCGCCTCCCACCCACCTTCCTGTTTTGCACACCAGAAGTCATCTCAAGAAAGGTTAGTGTTCTCTCTCTTCATACTGTACTGAACTGTACTTTGTTTCATATGTTTGTGGTTCAAAAACAAAACAAAAAGTTCAGAACAGATTAACCTTATTTACATTGAACCTTATAGGAAAATTTGATTCGGTTGGCGACCAAATTCGGTTCGCAACCACGTTCATAGGGGTCAGAACGGATTAACCTGATTTACACTGAACCCTATGGGAACATTTTCCTAGGTTCGAAACCAATTCAGTTCGTGACCAGAGTCGTGGAACGAATTAAGTTTGTGAACTGAGGTATTACTGTATTGATGCCTTTACACATACATGAACTTTAGTAGCATCACAGCCTTCACTATTGAGTTGGCCCATCCTTTGCAGCTCTAACAGCTTCAATTCTTCTGGGAAGGCTGTCCACAAGGTTTAGGAGTGTGTCTATGGGAAGGTTTGATCATTCTTCCAGAAGCGCATCTGCGAGGTCAGAGGAGAAAGCCTGGCTTGTAGTCATCTCTACTTCATCCCAAAGGTGTTCTATCGGGTTGAGGTCAGGACTCTGTGCTGGCCAGTCAAGTTCCTGCACCCCAAACTTGCTCATCCATGTCTTTATGGACCTTGCTTTGTGCACTGGTACACAGTCATGTTGGGACAGGAAGGGTCCATCCACAAAAGTTGGGAGTGTGAAATTGTCCAAAATGTCTTGGTATGCTGACGCCTTAAGAGTTCCTTTTACTGGTGCTAAGGGGCCAAGCCCAACCCCTGAAACACAACCCCACACCATAATCTCCGCTCCACCAAACTTTACACAATATAGTCAGGCAAGTACCGTTCTCCTGGCAACCAAACGCAGACACATCTATCGGATTGCCAGACAGAGAAACGTGATTCGTCACTCCAGAGAACGTATCTCCACTGCTGTAGAGTCCAGTGGAGGCGTGCTTTACACTACTGCATCCAACGCTTTGGTGGCTTGGATGCAGCTGCTCGGCCATGGAAGCCCATTCCATGAAGCTGTCTACACACTGTTCTTGTGTTAATCTGAAGGCCACATGAAGTTTGGAGGTCTTTAGCTACTGACTCTGCAGACAGTTGGCGACTTCTGAGCACTTCAGCATACGCTGACCCAGCTATGTCATTTTAAGTGGCCTACCACTTGGTGGCTGAGTTGTTGTTATTCCCAGTTGCTTCTATTTTGTTATAAATACCACTAACAGTTGACTGTGGAATATTTAGTAGCAAGGAAATTTCACGGATGGACTTATTGCACAGGTGGGAAAATATCACGGTACCATGCTTGAATTCACTGAGCTCCTGAGAGCGACCCATTCTTTCTAGGTGCTCTAGATTTATATATGAATAAAACATCTGATGATTACCTCTGGTAGGACATTCTGCGGTGTAGCTTGAATTTCTGCTGGGCTTCCTGCTTCTGCTGAAAATGATTCAGCTGGACATACAGCAGCAACATGAGATGAACCACTGATACTGCACCAAGGAGACCGTAACTCTGACGCACAATACTATCATCTCCAAGTGATCCACGGACACGCAGCTAGAAGAGATTCAGGAGATCAAAAAAAACATTGGAGAACTATTTCCTTTTATGTACTGCCATCACTCATTTACATGTGAGATAAATAATACATTTCTAGAGCAGTGGTCTCCAAACTGCGGCCCTGAGCTGGATGTGGCCCTTTGCTTGCTTTTATCTGGCCCTTTTGGCATTCATTCCCCCACTGTCAGAAATAGTGGGGAATAGTTTCAGCCACTAGAAATTCTGAAGGACCCTCTGCACACTGGTATATACCCTTTCAAGCAAACTATGCAACAAATAGGGATATTTGGTTCACACATATTGCAATACATGTTTAAGCTGGCCAACTGCGTCAAAGTAATCCCTCTATGGCCAGTCCTACTCTGCCCTGCCTACACAAGTGCTACCGTGGACACAATGCTAACATAGGGGAAAAGACACAATGGGGAGAGCTACAAGGTTCAGGTCTGGCCACTGACCCAGCTTAAACATGTATTGCAATATGTGTGAACCAAATATCCCTATTTGTTGCATAGTTTGCTTGAAAGGGTATATACCAGTGTGCAGAGGGTCCTTCAGAATTTGTAGAGTTAATGTGGTTACACCCCTTTAGCACCTGATGGATAAATGCATGCACTAGCTGTATGGATTTGAGCACAGGGATCTCTTGTTTGTAGTTTCAGCCACTGACACCAACATATGGGGCATTAGTCCTCTCACTGACACCAATAATGGAATACTATTCCTTCCATTGACATCAATGATGGGGCAGTATTCTTCCAACGGATACCGATGATGGGGCACTAATCCGCCCTCTGACACCAACAGTAAAACGTTCCTCCCATTAAATACCAATCATGGGGCACTATTCCTTCCGCTGACACCAATGATGGGGCACTATTCCTTCCGCTGACACCAATGATGGGGCACTATTCCTTCCGCTGACACCAAATGATGGGGCATGGTTTACTACTACTGACAACAAGGCATTTTCTTCCTTCACTGGCCACAGTCCAGCCCCCTCTAAAGTTTGGAGGACAGTAAACTGGCCCTTTGTGCAAAAAGTTTGGAGACCCCTGTTCTAGAGTAATAATGTTTTATGCAAATAAAAACATTAAAATGCTGTAATCAACTCTGTGTAAGACTGATGAATGAACAGTTTAGAATACTGTAAAAGCAAAACACAAACTTAAAGCTGAACTCTGGGGTAGTTACGAATTGTCACCTATATTTTCTGTCCATAAACATATGTTAAACATGCCTATATTTACCAAATGGTCCATTTCTTGAGAAAACTACATTGTTAATGTCTAACATCATTGCTATCAATCAGAAATTGCAGCTATGCCTGGACGACAGGAAGTGCCAATGTAGTTTTTTTTTTTTTTAGAGTGTGCATAGTTCATCTAGCAAAATACAATTCCCTTAATGCTTTGGGACTTTTAGCAACAATGGGTGATAACGTGGGTAGGCTGTGGAACAATAGTTTACCTCTTCAAACCTTTTGGATTAAGCCAGAGACCAGGATTTTCCTGGCCTGACTAAACAAAACTATCTTGAAGTGGTTGTTATATTTTTTCCCCCTAAGATTAAACTTGATATTCTTACCTGCTCACTGCAATGGTATTGCGCAGAGCAGCCCCGAACCTCCTCTTCTGGGGTCCCCTGCTGACACTCTCAGCTCTTCTTCTCCATGTGCCACCACAGGACGCCAAGTGGGCTAGCTCCCAATCCGGGCCGTGTGCACAAACAGCGCGACTTGGCCCTGCCTCTCCCCCCCCCCCCCCTAATCCCTCCAAACTGGAATTGACTGATAGTGGCAGGAGCCAATGGCTCCCACTGCTCTCAGCCAAGCTTGCGAGAGAGTAGAGAGGGGAGAGAGGCACTGCAGATGTGCACAGCACTGGATCGATAGAGGACGCAACAGGGTAAGTTTTTGAAGGGGGATGGGGAGAAAGAGCTGCTGAAAGGGTTTGGCATTCTATGAATTAAGGTAAAAAAACCCTTACAATACTAGAACCACTTCAAGCTAGCTATAGAGGGATCAACATTTGGCTGTCTCAGCAGGGACCAGACGAATTTCGATCAGTGTGCGGCAACCCTGCTCAACAAAAGTTGAATGTCTTTTTGACAGTAGTTACTCAAACAGTCTAGAAAACTTTCTCTTCCTTTCACTGAAGGACACAGCCAGGGAGCCTCCCCTTAGGTGTGGTTTTGTTTTTAGTTGCACCTAGCATCCTAATCCTGTAGGTGGGGCATCAAACCCATCCATCGTGAAAATCTAGCTATGTCCTTCAATAAACTCAGAGAAAAAGATTTTAGGGTGATCAATATAATCTGACAGCAATGGGTCTTCCTGTCAGAATACAATATCCTGGCTGGGGGGGGAGATTCCTCCTTCCACCCAGTTTGTGTGGAATAGGAATCTTTTTTTTCTTTTTCATTCAGCCTGCTTGCTATAAACCAGTCTATGGCCAGCTTCAGTGGACATGTCAAACCGAGAGTCAGAGACTCCCAGGTCTTCCCGCTACAGTGAGCACTGATGTAAGTATATCACTGCTCGCTTACGGAAAAAATCTAAAGAATTACCCTTTTTAGGGTGGATTATTGCAGGGGTCTCCAACCTTTCTGAACAAAGGGCTAGTTTACTGTCCTTACAGCTTTAGGGTGGCCAGACTGTGGCCAATGGGAGCAGAAAAGGTCATGACGTCAGTGGGAAAAAACAATGCCTCAGTGTTGGTGTCAGTAGGAGGAATTGTGCTCCATCATTAGGAGAAACTGTGCCCCTTCACTGGTGTCAGCAGAGGAAACTATGCCCCACTGTTGGTACTAGTGGATAAAATAATGCCCCAAGGGCCAGATAAAAGCAAGCAAGGGCCGCAGTTTGGAGACCACTGGATTATTGCATGGCATAACAGGTAGATGCTACGAAAAAGTAAATGAAATATCTCCCTCTCTATATTAACATTTCTGCCTAGGGGTCAGCTTTAAAGCTAACTAGTGCTTTGCCCATACAGGGCCCATTCAAATGCTGACTGCATTCAGGTTAATTTAGCCTAGAGAAGCCTTTTACTGATCACCTCTGACTGAGGAGCAAGGTGAATCTGGTGACTGTGAGAGCAAGAGCAGCTCTGCAATGGAGCCACTCTTACGATTTTACAAGGTGCAGAGCTCAGCGATAAAAACCCCTAGGAGGGAGTATTGCACATATAGTAAAAAAACATATGGGTTCATCACCAGTAACAGGCCACTTACATATGTGATACCGGTGATGCGTTTGGCAATGTGGTAGAAGATTCCATTCATATAGAACACAGCCAGGTGCAACCTTCTAAGAAAGGTGATACTCTGCCTGATGGCATAAACTGTTTTGGCCAGAGTCTTTTTTTCCTGCTCTGGAAGAGAAGCTATCTTTCTGTGCATCCACTTCCACATCCATGAACGGTGGTGACTACCAGAAGACAAGCCGCTGTGTAGAACCCGGACTCCATCAATCTCAATCTGCAGCTCTTGTTCTAGGCGAGCTAGTTCTTTATCCAGGAAATAAGGTAACAAGGTGTGGCAGCAGATGAGTAGAGAGCGCTGCAGAACGGATGGCACTTTCCTCTTTGAAGAATCCACTTGGACAATATTAACATATTCTTCTCCCAAGGTTTGATAACCTACAAAAAAGTTTGTGTTATTTTTAAATATAAAATTGTATTATTGATAATGATTGGATGCTTTATGTGGTCCCATAAAGGTTACACAACAAATTATCTTTTTCCCTAATTTTCCTTGCATGTGGGTATTCTTTTCAAAGTGAAAATGCACCACATGATGAGTTGGATAGACTTGAAAATGGAAAGGGGGGGTGCACGCTTTGCTAGCTGGTGGATGATGCACACTGGGGCCATCTCTAGATGTGACACAGTAGAGACCAGTGGAGAACTCATCCATTCATCGATGGCTCAAGGCATGTGAGTGGGACTTGTGTATGACTACATTTGTTTGTTTTTGTTTTCTTATATTAAAGCCTATCACACTAGGGCGCATGTGCTGTCTCTCTCTCTCTCTCTTCCTTTTATTTTTATTTAGTGCATCCTCCACCTAGAGAGCAAAGTGAGAGCTGCAACTGCCAGAGGATGTTTTCATTCATGTCTGTTTTTCGGTTTCACAGAGCATTGAGAGACACTGAATTAGATTGAATGGACTGTGGATTAGTGCAACTTCTGCACATATTTTTCTTTTGCCTACTTGCCTTTAGTAAATCATCAGCCCTATTGACTTCAACAATACAGTTTCTGAGTGGTTTATCATCCTATGTCCATGCTCAGCACAGTCTGACATATACAGAAATACTAGATAAAAGGCCTACAAACCTACTGAAATACCCTCACAAAAATAAGGATCATTAGGTAATTAGGTAAAATATGAATGTGTAAAATGTGTGTGCCATTTCAATTATAATAAATGCTTAAAGCTGAACCTAGGGGTGGCAGAGGGCCAGAAACACAAATGGAGAAGAAGAGTGGCTTCAGAGGTCTACTCATCATTACTGAAACTAGTGGGGAGACTGCAGGACCATAGAGTAGGGAAAGTATTCCTCTGTATCAAATGTTTGGGAAAACAAGTTGGGGACACATTTACATTTATATGGCCAGCCCAGAGTTGGGCTTTAAAACATACCACAATCTCCCTTTGCAAACGTTTTAAAGCAGCCGTATAGTGGTGGTAACACCATACCACATTATAAATGTCCCCTGTAGGATCCGATGTATGAAATGGGCCCAATCAACAGGGTAGTGAAAGATCAATTGGGGGAAGTTTAGTAACTCAGTGACCAATCTCAATGAATATTTAATGTACAAGAATATGGGTGATAGCACATGCTGCTTATTTTGGGGAAGGGAGTTATAACTGGGATGAGGAAAGGGTTTCTACTCTGCCCAATTAGGTAGTCTTGGGCCTGGAAAAGTAGGTCCTATAGACCTTCAATTCTTCCGCCATTGAGAGTATTCTAACATACTGTATCCTAGTGTGGTATCCTGGTTGTAAGTGGACTATAAAAATGCTCTAAAAAGTGATTCAAACAGCACAGAAAATAGTAGGGTGTGAAACTTGTTTCTCTTGATGAAATCTTTACCCATTGTCTTTGCAGGGCGGAAAGAAAAGTGAGAGACTAGACTCATCCAGGCTGTCATTTCTTTGAATTATCGCAGTCTGGGAGAGGTTTTAGGACAATGAAAATAACAACAAATAGATTCAAAGAGTTTCTTTCCTAGGGCTATTAATGCAGGAATGAAATGAAAGTGGGTTAATAGACTTGTTATCATCTCTTGCTTGTTTTTAAAATGCAGTTTTTTGGGCGTTTGTGTATGGTATACGTGTAGTTGAGGATTGTGGTATATAAGTGCTGTGTGGAGTAGAAATGTAATTTCATTGTGAATTTGATTCTGCAAGGACAATAAATCTTATCTTCTTTCTGATAGCAGCTAGCAGGCAGAAAAGGGAAGAACTCCAGAACATGAGATTGTCAGCTGAACCAACTAGAAACACCCAGAGTGGGCATCTGTCACCGACATTCCAAATATCCTACCTGAAAATGTGGTAAGAGTGTAGTAAGCGAGATCACACAGCAGCTCAATCTCTTTCCTCCACTGCAGCCATTTTTTGGCACCTATAATTAAAAACAGATAAACGTGTGACCAAATAAAGATTTGTGCAATGTGTGTATGACCTAAAGATCAACCAACATACATGAGCAAGCTCCTAAACTCACCCTGATGCTAGGAACAAAAAATGTAACCAGCAGCCCCCCATAAAAAGAACACAAGGAATATTTATTTTTGAGTCCATTCTCTTGGAACTACAGCACCAGCACGGGACATGCTATTCAGCACGTTTCGAAGAGTCCTATAGCAGTGGTGCACATCTCTCTACAAGACAGCGATGAATGGACTTACTGCATTCCAAAAAAAGAGTAAATATTTAATAACTTCTTTTACAGGGGACTGCTGGTTCTATTTTTTAATTGCTTAAAGCCCCACTTTGCACAAAATATGAAACCCCTTTCTTCCCCTCTGCAACCTACCCTGCGGGGTTTTTATTTTTCTTTACTCTGCAAAGCAAATTAAAACGGAACTAAACCCATTCATTTAAATGTTTCCCAAAACACTTATTTTTGAGGCATGCCGTGAATAATAACCATCACAGTTGCTTATGCTCTCATTTGAACCATCAAGCCATCAAATGACTGGTGTGATAATTGATCACATGTACAGCACCATAACTGCAGAACAGATAGAGGCTAAGATGGCAGCTTCCTTGGCTGTATAGAACAGGAGATTGTATTTCTGTGTTAAACTCACCAAAGTCCCCTGTCCAGGTTCACCACCTGCATGGTTCAAGGTGTGGGGGACAGGTGGTCCCTCGCTGGACGGTGCCCAACGATGTCACTACTCTTCTGGATCCTGAGAGTACCCCGCTGCTGGACAGCCAAAAGGGAATGTCCACATCATGCAGGCAGTGACATGGACATCAAAGAAGGGCCCTGCCTGTGTAAACAAAAGAGGACAGAAAACCTGGGACGGGAGGATCACGTGACCGCATCCGTTTTTAGATAGTGACAGTAGGTGTGGGGACAGGGGGAGGATCAGGCAGGTGTTCTCTTGTAACATGTGACATGTTACAAATGTGAACATATCTTTTCAAGAGCTCCAGTCATTAAAGGATACCTGAGACAATTTGAACCTCCACTCCTGGGATTGTTATAAAAGCCAGGCTGCTACCTGTCTGGAGTTTGCACCTTTCTTCGGAGTAATAAAGAAGATGATACTTAAGTTTATATGGGCACCTTTTGATTTTATTCCAGCACTCAGTCTTTTTGGGTATGAGTCTATCAGCATGGCACATCCTGATTGGCAGTATTTGCAAACTCTTCCTTGCAAAAACATTCCAAATCTGTCAGATTGCGAGGACATCTCCTGTGCACAGCCCTCTTCAGATCACCCCCACAGAGTTTCAATCAGATTCAGGTCTGGGCTCTTGCTGGGCCATTCCAAAACATTAATCTTCTTCTGGTGAAGTCATTCCTTTGTTGATTGGATGTATGCTTTGGGTCGTTGTCATGCTGAAAGGTGAAGTTCCTCTTCATGTTCAGCTTTCTAGCAGAAGCCTGAAGGTTTTGTGCCAATATTGACTGGTATTTGGAACTGTTCATAATTCCCTCTATCTTGACTAAGGCCCCAGTTCCAGCTGAAGAAAAACAGCCCCAAAGCATGATGCTGCCACCACCATGCTTCACTGTGGATATGGTGTTCTTTTGGTGATGTGCAGTGTTGTTTTTGCACCAAACTTATCTTTTCGAATTATGGCCAAAAAGTTCAACCTTGGTTTCAGCAGACCATAACACATTTTCCCACATGCTTTTGGGAGACTTCAGATGTGTTTTTTAGCCGTGCTTGGATGTTTTTCTTCGTAAGAAAAGGCTTCCATCTTGCCACTCTACCCCATAGCCCAGACATATGAAGAATACAGGAGATTGTTGTCACATTTACCACACAGCCGGTACTTGCCAGATATTCCTGCAGCTCCTTTAATGTTGCTGTAGGCCTCTCGGCAGCCTCCCATACCAGTTTTCTTCTCGTCTTTTCATCAATTTTGGAGAGACGTCCAGTTCTTGGTAATGTCACATTTTCTCCACTTGATGATGACGGTCTTCACTGTGTTCCATGGTATATCTAATGCCTTGGAAATTCTTTTGTACCCTTCTCCTGAGTGATACCTTTTAACAATCAGATCCCTTTGATGCTTTGGAAGCTCTCTGTGGACCATGGCTTCTGCTATAAGATGCGACTAAGAAAATGTTAGGAAAGACCTACTAGAACAGCTGAAATTTATTTAGGGTTAATCAGAAGCACTTTAACCGCTTCCTAAGCACCCTATAGCAGTAATACTGCTACAGGGCGGCACAGGTGCGCAACATCACATATAGATACGTGATTTTGCATTCCGTGCGCTTGCCCTACCCACGCCGCTATTCACGGCCTCAGCTGTCAATCACCAGGTCCAGGCTGGTAATTACTCGCCGACACCCGGTGATCGAGGTGCATTACCAAGGGAGGGAGAGAACTGTAAGTAAACAAAACAGTTCTCTCCCCTGTCAGATCCTGCACACTGCTTTGTATGGCTTTGCAAAAAAAGGACGTAAATTTCATTTGGGTGCAGCATTGCATGACCATGCAATTGTCAGTTAAAGGAACACAAAAAATGGCCTGGTCAGGAAGGGGGTAAATGCCTACATACACACGTGCAGTCTATACATACATTATATATGTACACACACATTATATATATACACATGTGCAGTCTATACATACCTATATATATATATACACATACATACACACATTATATATATACACATACACATGTGCAGTCTATACATACCTATATATATATATATATATATATATATACACATACACACACATACACACACATTATATATATATATATATACACACACATATCCATGAAAAGCACGTATGTCCTGCCTGTGTCTGGGGTACTCACCAGTAAAGGCCTGGCAGGCCTCATGAGCCTGCCCCCTCAGACAGCTCTGGAACTGCTCATCCTTCTGGCTGCTCCGAATCAGCTGAGGCTGGTTTGCTGAGGTCAAAGCCATATCAGCACGCCTGCTCCCCCTCTGCCTCATACCCCGGGACCGTCCGCAGCAGCCTCCCCACGACTTCCCGAGGAACCCCAACAATGACAACATCCAGCCCCCCGGCTTCCTGCCCCACTTCCGGTGTACAATGCGTGCGCCAGCGTAGGAGGTGGAGCTTTCCGTACGTCAATCCTTGTTACCGCAGCAAATAATTGTCCGGCGTTCTGTCAAAGTTCCTGGAGACTAGCGAATGACATGGTGTGCGGGCTGTGCTCTGTACTGCAGCCAGGGCCGGATTGACATAGGGGCTATTGGAGCTGCAGCTTCAGGACCCTATCTCAAAAAAGCCCAGCAGCCCTAAAAAGAACAGGTGACAGGGGGCGCAGGGTGAGCGGAAGTTGGGCGCTAATGAGGCGCCAGACATGCGCCCTATTTGCTCCATTAGGCTGTGTTATCTGTCCCACAACCCCGCTCTGCAGCTGTTGTAGTTATTTTCTACTTTCATTGTAGTTGGCAAACTCCGCCCACTACCCTTAGTAGCCGAGTGCTGAACCTGGAGAGAATATGGGCGGAGATTCTACTTTGCAGTCCCCTGATAGGCTAACTCTGGCTGGCAAGGCTGAAGAGACCAAACTGGAGTGTCGGGCTCCACCGCTAAGTGTGCTGTGTGGTTGGGGTTGTGCTGAGTAGTGAAGGTGATACAGGGCGGACCATTTGTCAGCAGAAGCTCACAATAGTAGACATACTGACCCCCCCTTTTTACCTCTCCCCCCCCCCCCCTTAATTAGTTTTAAACCACTTGCACTCCAGAGAATTTACCCCCCTTCATGACCAGGCCATTTTGTGCATTACAGCACTGCGCTACTTTAACTGACAACTGTGCGGTCATGCAACGCTGCACCCAAAACAAAAAAATTTACTGCCTTTTTTTCCCACAAATATGAGCTTTCTTTCAGTGTATATGATCGCCTGTGCAGTTTTTATTTTTTGTGCTCTCCCCTCCCGCCCCCCCCCTCTCCCTCCTCTCTCCCCCCCCCCCTCCCTCCCTCCTCTCCCCCCCCCCCCCTCCTCTCTCCCCCCCTCTCCTCCTCTCTCTCCCCTCCCCTCTCTCTCTCTCTCCCCCCCCCCTCCCTCTCTCTCTCCCCCCCCCCCTCCCTCCCTCCTCTTCCTCCTCCTCTCTCTCTCTCCCCCCTCTCCCTCCCCCCTCTCCCCCCCCTCCCTCCCCCCCTCTCCCCCCCCCCCTCCCCTCCCCCCCCCCCCCCCCCCCCCCCCCTCTCTCTCTCCCCCCCCTCCCCCTCCCCCTCCTCCTCTCTCTCTCCCCTCCTCTCCCCCCCTCCCTCCTCTCTCCCTCCCCCCCTCCCCTCCCTCCTCTCTCCCTCCCCCCCTCCCTCCTCTCTCCTCCCCTCCCCCCCCCCCTCTCTCCCTCCCCCCCTCCCTCCTCTCTCCCTCCCCCCCCCCTCCCTCCTCTCTCCCTCCCCCCCCTCCCTCCTCTCTCTCTCCCCCCTCTCCCTCCCCCTCTCCCTCCCTCCTCTCTCCCAGTCAGGAATGGACTTGCCAATAGTGGTGGGACTCACCTGCCTTGTGGGCTGTAGTACCAGGGCTGGCCAGCGGGTGCTCTCAACAACCAGAGGTTCACTTTGGCAATTAGCCATCACCTGGGGCTGATTGCAGGTGGTATATTTAAGGGATGGCCAGACCTGCAGTCTGTGCCTTGGTGTGTGTTTTTCCATGGGCCCCTGTATCTTGTAACCTGCATTCCTATTCCTGTCTGACTTGTTGCTGACCCTGCCTGATCCTGACCTCTGCTGACTTCTCCTGTTTGATCCCTGACCATTCTCTCCGGCTGCTCCTCCTGTACCTACCTGCCCGATAGTTATCGACCCGGCCTGCCTCACTACGTTGTGCTCTATATGTGTATGTACCTGTGTATCTATATCAGTTTAGGTTTGGGTTTGTTTCACCTTGTTGTATGTATTTGTGTTAGCTTGGGGTTTGGTGCACTGCGTTTATATTTTGTATTGTTAGTCTTAATAAATTATATTATTTACTATATCTGAAGCCTACGTTTCCCTGTGTCAGTCCACACACTTCTGGTCACACCCGCATCCCTGACACTCCTTCCCCCTCCCTCCTCTCCTCTCCTCTCCTCTCCCTCCCTCTCCTCTCCCTCCTCTCTCTCCTCTCCCCCCCTCCTCTCTCTCTCCTCTCCTCTCCCCCCCTCTCTTTCCCTTCTCTCCCCCCCTCTCTCTCCCTTCTCTCCCCCCCTCCCCCCCCTCTCTCTCCCTTCTCTCTCACCCCCCTCTTTCTCTCTCTCCACCCTCTCCATCCCCCCTGCCCCCCTATTTAATCTGTGTTATTAATAGTGTCCAAATAAATAAAGCAAATTAAAGTATTTGTATTTTCTTGTTTCACCGTGACAAAAAATGATCCCCAGTGACTGGTGAAAGAGCAATCACCAAAAAGCAAAGACCCCTCATTGAAATAAGCAGGTCAATATGTGCTAAACCATTTCAATACCGGGCACTTTTACCCCCTTCCTGCCCAGGCTAATTTTCAGCTTTTGGTGCTCTTACACTTTGACAATTACTCAGCCATGCTACACTGTACCCAACCAAAATTTGTATCATTTTTTTTACACAAATAGAGCTTTCTTTTGGTGGTATTTTATTACCACTGGGTTTTTTTTTTTTTTTTTTTTGAGATATAAGTAAACAAATACCGAAAAATTTGAAAAATTAAAAATATTTACTTAGTTTCAGTGATAAAATTTAACAAATAATTTTTCTACATACATTTAGGCCAAAATTTATACTGCTACATTTCTTAATAACCTAAATCAGTGCATATTCTGTAGTCTGTGTGAAAGTTCTAGTCTACAAACTATGGTACTAGTGATTGAAAATGAATCACACCTAATGTACTGATGGCCTATCTCATTTCTTGAGGCCCTAACATACTAGGAAAGTACAAATAGCCCCATAAGACCCATTTTTGGAAAGTAGACATCTAAGGTATTTAGTGTCAGTTTTTCAAAGTTGTAATTCACACAAAATTGTCATATTAAGTTATTTCTCACACACAGCATAGGCATATTTACAATTGCATCCCAAAATACATTCTGCTACTCCTCCTGAGTATGGGGATACCACATGTGTGAGACTTTTCCACAGCCTGGTAACATAGAGATCTGACATTCAAGTAGCACCTTCTGGCATTCTAGGGGCATAAGTAACACATCTAATTTCCTGACCACCTATCACAGTTTTGAAGGCCTTGGAGAACCAGGTCATTGTAATTACCCACAAAATTACCCCATTTTGGAAAGCAACCACTCCAATGTATATTATGTGATGCATAATGTGTCTTTTGAGCGTGTCATTTTTTTTTCAAAAGTTAATGGAATATGTGAAAATAAAATGAAAACCAATTTTTTTCACACAAAGTTGTCAATTTATAAGATATTTCTAACACACAGGATGTACATATCAAGAATTACAGCCCAAAATACATTCTGCTACTCCTGAGTACAGGGATACCACATGTGTGAGACTTTTCCACAGCTTGGTCACATAGAGGGGCCCAACTTCCAAGTAGCACCATCAGGCATTCTAGGGGCAGAAAAGGCATAAATTACACATCTAATTTTCTGACTATCAAATTTTTGAAGACCCAGGAGCACTAGAAACCATAAAATAGCCACATTCAACTAAGCAAAGGGTAAAGAAAAGATTGCCTGTGGTTTTAGTAGTGCAGTTGTCCACAGAGGAGAGCATTGGTACAGGCAGCAGGCAGGGATGTGGTCAGCGACAGCAAAAGGAATTGTCCAGGCAGCAGGCAGGAATACTGTCCCTAGTCAGTACAGGCAGCAGGCAGAGATATTGACAGTACAAACAAAGCATTGGTCCAGGCAGCTGGCAGATATGTGGTCTACAACAGCCAAAGCATTGGACCAGGCAGCAGGCAGGTATGGGGTCAGCAACAGCCAAAGGAATTGTCCAGGCAGCAGCCAGAAATGGTCAGCACAGCCAGAGTATTGGTACTGGCAGTAGGCAGGAACATGTTCCATAGTTATGTGGTCAGTTCAGGCAGAGGCATGATCAATTTACAGGCTAGGGTTTTTCGGCAGCTGGCAGAAATATCAGGCTTAAGGCCTTGGTCAGGTAGGACCTGGGCACAGGGGTAGAGGCTTCTTCCCACCCAAATCTTTTAGAAGCCTCCGGTCTGCAGACCCTAATGTTAGAATTGCATAACCCGGAGAAAACCAAAAATGTAGTTTTTTGTGCTCAGAAAAACTTCTCTGGAGACCCTCACATACGTGAGACCGCTGTGTTATTTTGAATCCCACTACTACAGTAGCAGGGCAAAAGATCAGTCCAAGCAGCAGGCAATAAACGTCATTTAACAGGCTGAGGTCAGTTTCAGGTGGAAGGCAGAATCGTGATTGATAGTTTAGGCAGCAAGCAGAGGCATCAATAAATAGACCAGGGACAGTTCCAGAGCAGGCAGAGGTATGGTCAGTTTAGGCGGCAGGTGGAGGCGTGGTCGAATAACAGGCTAGGGTCAATTCTGAGCAGGCAGAGGCATGGTCAGTTTAGGCGGCAGGCAGACGCATGGTCGAATGACAGGCTAGGGTCAATTCTGAGCAGGCAGAGGCATGGTCAAATAACAGGGCAGGGTCTGTTCCAGAGCAAGCAGAGGTATGGTCAGTTTAAGCGACAGGCGGAGGCGTGGTTTGAATAAGAGGCTAGGGTCAATTCTGAGCAGGCAGAGGTATGGTCAGTTTAGGCGGCAGGCAGAGGCATGGTCGAATGACAGGCTAGGGTCAATTCTGAGCAGGCAGAGGCATGGTCAGTTTAGGCGGCAGGCAGAGGCATGGTCGAATGACAGGCTAGGGTCAATTCTGAGCAGGCAGAGGCATGGTCAGTTTAGGCGGCAGGCAGAGGCATGGTCGAATGACAGGCTAGGGTCAATTCTGAGCAGGCAGAGGCATGGTAAAATAACAGGGCAGGGTCAGTTCCAGAGCAAGCAGAGGTATGGTCAGTTTAGGCGACAGGCGGAGGCGTGGTCGAATAACAGGCTAGGGTCAATTCTGAGCAGAGCAGGTCA